CACACTGGGTGTGGAGCCTACTTAAAAAAAAAAAAAAAAAGGTAAAATCACTAGGCTACAGAAACTTTAATGACAGATAAAGAGTGTCAGGTTAGTGCCTGCAGCTAGATGGAAAGCTTTGGACCACCCCATAGCAGAAACTCCTTATCTATTAATAAAGCAGAGGTATGGGGCACCTGAGTGGCTCAGTGGTTGAGTGTCTGCCTTTGGCTCAGGTCATGATCCCAGGATCCCGGGATTGAGTCCCATCTGAGGCTCCCTGCAGGGAACCTACTTCTCCCTCTGCTTATGTCTCTGCCTCTCTCTCTGTGTCTCTCATGAATAAATAAATAGAATATTTTAAAAAAATTGTTTTATTCTTCCACCTATTGAACTGTCCAGTTGCCTAGTGGAATTGATGTTTGATGTAGTAGTTTGGTGATAGGACATTTGTTAGAGAGAAGAGGTGGGGTAATAAGTGGACCACAGCAATGCACTATAGTCATGGTTCTCAATCTTTGGAATATGAGAATCTCCTGGGAAACTTAAGGGGAAAACAATAGGGCTAATCTGCCTCCATGATCTGTTTTCTTCATCAGCTCTCTAATGACTGTGATTCCCACCAAAGTGTGTGAATCACTGCTCGATGTCTGGGCCTGAAAACCAGGGTCTCAAAGCAGGCTGATTTGGGTCCAAATTTCTTTCTCAGCCTTAGTTTTTAACTCAAAAGTGTTGATATGATTAGTACCTACTTCTTAGGATTTATGTGACACTCATTGAGAAAATGGATCTGTTATCTTTGTAATTGTAACTATTAGTGCAATTTTTTTGTATGACCAAATGGAAATCTGACAAAGATTTTGACATCTGCTCACAAGAATATCTTATTTATACGTTTATTCATTCATTAACATTACCATTTATGCCATTGGTTTATTAGAATTCTAGGAGAAAGTCTAGATTATGTATACATAGGAAATGCTCAGTGACTTCAATATTCTTAAGACAAAGCACATGCTATTCCATCTGAATAAATGCCCGGTGTCTTTACTTCCCCCACTTCCAGTTAAAACCTGTTTTTTCCTTTTCTCATCTGTATTTACTCCGTCCAGGAAGCCCTCTCTGGCACTCTAAGACAGTTCTTTCTCTTTGTGTGCTCCCTAAACATTAGGTATCCTTCCTCCATAGAAACCATTACAGGTATAATTTTATATTTATTTAAATGATACTTGCCAAAATCTATCTTCTTCACCAGGCTACCTATCAATCTGATGAGGGGCCATCTGTTTTAACCCAAGATTAGTGAGTATAGAGAATAGTGCCTGTCACAGGGTAGGTGCTCAAGAAATATTTAATGGATGAATGTGGTTATTTTACAACTAACAGTATTTTACTTCATCAGATACAAGGCTGAGTACTTTACAAATAATGGCTCATTTAATCCTTCTAACAACACTAAGGTAGATATTAATATTAATCCTCTTTTACAGATGAGGAAACTGAGACACAAAATAGCTGAGTAATCTGCTCAAAATTATACAGGTAGAAAATGCGAATGTTGGAGTCACACCCAGACAGTGTCTGATGTCTGTGTTCACTAGTACACTATGTGGATTCCTTACTGACAGGAAGGAAGTACAGCTCTCAACAAACTGTTGAGGTGTTCAGGAAACCACTCAAAAGCAAATATATGCTGCATTACTACTTGACTAAGAGTTTTGAGTTTTCCCCTCAGGGTCTGTGGACCTTCAGTGGAGGAAGTGAAGACACGGCTATTTCAGGTTACCTTTTCGGCAACATTAATAAAACACAGCAACTAGATTAAAATACCAGGCTGGAGAGCCCAGAGTGATCACAGGGCATACAGGTGAGAAACAGCTTTGGAGGCTGCAAAGGGGCCCAGAGCAGCAATGCTCAGGAGTACACAGACAAGCAAGCACATCAGGAAAATTCACCGGCAAGTTCCGCAGCATGTTCTATCTTCCCGGGCCATCTACAGGCAATAGGATGGGAAGGCAAAGCTCCTGCCATACCGAGCCAGGTACCAAGTAAATGTCTCAACTATAGAAGCAAAGCAAAGGTCCTCTCATCTGAACCAAGGCATAAATTTGAGGCTGAGAGGGTGATAATACTGAGATCTTACAAATCGGGCTGGAATTGCTCAAGCCCCACCTACTGAAATTTAGGTTTGTTCTAGAATCCTGCTTTTCAAGTATGGACAGTAGAGTATCACATGTTAAAATGCGAGATTCACCCTGGAGCCCTGCTTCTTAAAGTAGAAGCAGCATGATCATCACCTGGGGTTTGTTAAAAAAATGTGGCATATTTGGCCCTACCCCAGACCTCAGAATCTGCCTCTTAGGAGATACTCAGGGAATATATATATATATATATATGCACTTGGGAAGCAAGAGCCATTCCAGTTTATAGGTGAAGGTAGCCACCAGGCCCACAGGGAGGAGGATGAGGAGGCCACTAAGCACCAGCTATATATATGAGTGAAAAGGACAGGGGTGGTGGTTCAGAGATCCTGCTCCTTTTCTGCTTTTTGCTGTAGTGCATACAGCCTTCCCAGTGCCTGCTTGCTTTCTCAAAATCTGTTTGTTCTCATTTAGAATGGAAGAAAATTCTGACTGCTGCTTTCCTTTTTTCCTTCTCTTTTAAATGTTCCACGGTCACCTAACCTACATGTTAGCACAAACTAATCCTTCCTTCCTCACCAGGCTTTTGCATTTCCAGCAGACACAGGATGGAGAGAAGTGTTTTGAAGTGATAGACATTTTTCAATAATGAGGTTTTCTTTAAAGATATTTTCTTCTGTGCTGGGGCATGTATATATCCTTGCCACAATTTGAGCCATTTTGGTAGTTCCTATTCTGAGGAGGTTTGGAATTCAGACCTGTGGCATGTGGCAGAAGAGTCTACTTCTGAAACTTCAACTGTTCTGTTGAGGGCACTTCTTCCTGAAGGGTATGTTGTTTGGGGTGTTGGGCAGAGAGAGGCTCAAGGTGCTGTGATAAAGGAGTGTTTCAGTTGTCTGGCCACTTTAAAAATTACCTCAAATGTTACTGGCTTCATAAACAACCACCGCTGAGTGACTCAAGCTGGTCTCAGCTAAGTGGTTCACCTGCAGTCTGCTGGAAGGCTGCAGTGTCCAAAGAAATTTTGCAGAAACTGACTGGGCTTTTTCCACATGATCTGCCATCCTCCTGTCAGTCATCTTAGAGCATGGCAGCTGGATTCCAAGAAAGAGAATTCCACAAAAACAAGCCACAGTGAGCCCAGCGCTTCTCAGCCTCTGCACGTATCATTGCTGTCAATACCCCACGGAGAAGGGCACGGTACATAAAGCGGGATATGGGTATAAAGGCCTGTAAGCATGGTCTAATCAGGGACCATTGTCACAATCTACCACTGTTGATTAATTTGTGTTTTGGGGGGGCCAGATGGGAGGGGAGAACATGAGGCAAAATGGTGAAGAGAGAAAGCTCATCACCAGTCACCATGTTCGGGTGTACATATATACATGACTGAATGCATACATTTAGTGTTCATGGAAACATGGGGGACTCATCCATATTTCCCCCCCAGAAGTTTCCTTTGCTTAGGAATATTATGTTATGCATACTCGAGCCAGATTACTTTCAAATCCATTAAGGTAGTCATATAAAAGGACAATTGGCCCACATGTACTGACAAAAGTCTGGAAAATGACCTAAAAGATGCCAAATACTTCTGTTTTCCCTAAAACATTATGTAATGCCTTGTGCTTTATGTTTCTTTTTCTTTTTACTCTATCTCATTTAATTATTTCATATTTTCCATTTATAGTAGGTTTAATATATGTTGGGCCGTGAATTTAATATTGGCCACTTAGTGATGAATAGAGCTAACCTGATATGCCCTTCTCATGAAGTTTAGAGTCTGCAGCTATTTTTTATGGCCTTAAAATGAAGGGAAAACTGGATAATTTAAATAATGTGAAACCAAGTCCATCTCCCTATTGTGGTTAACCCTGAACTCTGTAAGTTTCCAGGATCTTTTCACAACCTCACGGTGCTGTGAGGGAAGGGGAAGGAGGTAGCGCTTGACTTCATTTCTGCAGAGAGATGAAAGGAAGATGAGGGAAATGTGCACTTGCTCATGTTCCCCTGACTTAGGGAGATGAGTGAAGCTAGGCCTCAGGCCCAGCCTCATGTTACTGACTCCTGTCTCATTCTCCTAAGACCTTGTGACTTCCCTGGAACCTTGAAGGCTGCACTCCTGAATACATAGCAAGGGATTTCCTGGAGACTTGGCCTCTTGAGTTTCTCATCCATGCACTCAGTGAGCAGCAGTGAGCTTTATGTTAGACTCTGATTTACTTGTGGCTGTTTCAGAAACTTCCATTTTGATTAGAATATCAATTACAAAATAGGATGTTCTAAATGAAAGGGAGGTGTTAAAATGATATTCACAGGTCAGTAGCTCACATAGAAATACAGAATCGGCCTAAGGGTTGACTTTGAGCATGCTTCTATTTCACTGAGCCTCTATTTCCTCAATGGCACAGTAGGAATGATAGAGGTTGCTGTATAGGTTGTTGAGATGAATAAAAGAATCCGTGTGAAGCACAGAATCTTATCCATAGTAAGCACCGAAATGATCAATTATTATCTTGAGGAGGAGGAGGAAGACACTTTGTCCCTGGTCTAGCATCACTAGAGATGCAAGACATGTTGTGATCATCATGTCATCTCTAAGGTCATTGTGACTATGTCATTTGTAGGTCACATCTTTGCCTGACAGATTGAAATAGGGATTTAGCCATAGGATAGCTCTAGAATATTTTTCTTTCTTTCTTTCTTTCTTTCTTTCTTTCTTTCTTTCTTTCTTTCTTTCTTTCTTTCTTTCTTTCCTTTTTATGCCACAAAGAGCATCTAGTCTACCAAAATAAGGAAAACCCAGTCACTGGTATTTTTATTTCTAAACATTCCAGCAATGCCCCACAAGCAATGACCTTTTCATTTAACTCTGTTTAGGGTTTGATGCCTATTTTACATCCCGCACACTTGAAAACAACAGAAGAAATGTATGGTTTGCCGAATACTGGGAGGAAAACTTCAACTGCAAGTTGACGATTAGTGGGTCAAAGAAGGAAGACACAGATCGCAAATGCACAGGTAATTTCGTTCTAGTTGTCCTTCTCCTGTTACTCTACGTGGCCAGCATTGAAATGTCTGCATAGCTGACAGAAGGAAGCTTGGCTGGAGACAAATTGAAAAAGTAAATTGAATTTTACTAGATTGTTCAGAAAATGGAACAGGAGCATAAGTCTTACAGGACAAGAGAGGAACGGACAAAATTGTATTCTTTTCTGCCTGTCCATCTATCAGTAATTGACATTTTCATTGATTGTTGGAATTCAAAAGGGTCATGTTGCTTTGAATGCTCTCAGTGATAAATATTAGTTCATGTTTTAGCTAGGAGTATGAATTCATTTTCACACAGACAAAAATCTGGCAAATCCCCTATCAGCACCAGATTTGACTGTTATCATGGACCATACTATCTATTTGATTAAAGAAACAAAATACTTGGGTTTAGAGTAATGAGAATTCCAGTGGATTTCCATAACATGCAAGTTAATGAGTCATCTGCTATTTAAAATATGCTTAAAAATACTTAAGGGTCACTTGGCTGGCTCAGTCATTAGAGCATGTGACTCTTGATATCAGGGTCATGAGTCAGAGTTAGAGTTTACTTAAAAAAAAATACGTAGGCAGCCATGTAGGTAAACTTGCATAATTATTACAAATTAAAAGACATGTGTAAGCCAATGCATATATATGTGCATATATGAAATAGAAGACAAAAATTAAACATTCACTGGTGGATTTACAAATATTTATTGAGCAACTCCTTCCTTTTCAGCACAATTCTAGGTACCATGATCTGATGGTAAGCAAGCCAGGTTAAAACCCAGCTTTCATGCTGCTCAGTGGGGGAAAATTGACATTATTTTTGTGATCTCTCGATGAATACATAATTATAAACTGTTATAAGTGTCCTGAGGGATATATGCATATATAACCAAGAAATTTCACTTATATTGGAGGCAGAACTGTCTCAAAAGACCTCCATGAGGAGCAAATAGGCATTGGCTAGTTTGTAAGGGAGAGAAAGACAGACAGGAGAATTTCTCGTAGAGGAATAACATGGCAAAGGGCTTATAGCAGGAGCAATTATGGTACCTCTGAGGATATAAAAAACAGAACTACCTGACTGAAGTACAGTGGCTAGGATGAATGTGTGAGCTGAGGCTACTAGTGTAGAGATGTGGACAGGGAATAAGCTGTATGGATACATATGTGGAATTTGGTCTTTATCCTAAGCATACTGGAACCAGGGTTGGGGGTGGTGGTGGTGATGGTGGTAGTTCTAGAAGCATGTGGTGTGTTCTACTATCATATCACCTAGCCCTAGATTATATAGCAGTACCCAACTTCATACTACAGTAGTCTTTATCATTTGTAGTGATGACCTTGAAATACCACAGAACCCTAAAATGTTATTCTGAATGATCCAGAAGAGGCACTCATGTCAGATATACTGATACATAGTATATCTTTGCAGTGTGGATCTTTAAATATTGGTCATCCAGATACACTAGATTGACCCATTCGACAAACACTTATTACTGAGTAATACATGCAAACCATGGTCCGAAAAACATCACAAATGGTATAAAGATGCTTAAGTTTAAGGCTTTTTCTCAAGGTGTTTTTGTGAATGAGAAATAAGCTAGGAACAGAGCTATGAGTAAAAGTAATGATACAAAATCGATGTTACATGATTAGGTAAATAACTCAGTACATTACAATACCAGAGAACTCTATTCTCTATGACATGGTATATAGCAGCAGTGTTTTCAAGGATGTGACGTTTATAATATTGATAGGAGGGATAAAAAAAAGTTATTTCAATGTTGACTAGGCCTGGGTGAAACAAAGCTCTCAAGAGGAAACTGAAAAAAATTAGTTTGACAGCTGGATAATTTGTCTATATGACAAGGAACATCCAGGTATACTAGAAGTATCTATATGATTGATGACAACAGTTTTTTGGTTCCTTCTGACATTTTGTGTTTTGTAGAGTCTAGAAGCTGGAATGGGTTGTCTCGTGGCCATTAGGATTGTCCTGAGACAAATCCCCACCCTTTTAACATGTTAACACCATGGTTTTATCTGTAGTTGCATTTTCATGCTGATCATCATGAATTGGGGTTCATAAAAACTGAAGTTCATTATCCAAATCATTATCTTTCAAAAATATACAAAGGGTTTTTTTTTCATATCCCACTCCTTCCATGTGAAAAATCTGTAATCATATTTACTAAATTATCTGTGACCCAAAATCATTTAAACATTGCCTCTGCCCTCTTTCCTTCCTTAACACTTTCACAGTTGTAAGATGTGCCATACTGAGTGGAGATAAATAGTATTACTATGATTGTGTCTCTTATTCCTGTTACTGGGTTTGAGTACATGAATGGTCATATATTTGTTTCTTGTATTGCCATTTCCCAAATCCAATTAAACATATATTCTGATGTGGAAGTATTCACAAAATGCTATTTTAAAGACTGTGACCCTTAAGAACAGTTGACCACTGAACAACATGGATTGGAATTGGTCCACTTAGACCAATTGTTTTTGATAAATTTAGCACTATAAATGTATTATTTCATGATTTTCTTAAGATTTTTCTTTAGCTTACTTTATTAGAATACAGTGAATAATACCTATAACATATAAAATATGTTAATTGTGTTATTGGTAAGACCCGCTTTCAACAGTAGACAGTAAAATTATGGGGAGTCAAAAGTTACAGGTGGATTTTTGACTATGAGGGGTTTGGCAACCCAGACCCCGCCCCCACCACGTTGTTCAAGAGTCAACTATGTGCTTCAACTTGGAAGTGGAATAATCAGAGAAAAAGCATGCTGAGATTTGGTAGATTAGAGTGAAGGAAGAGATAGAGAGAAGTTACAGAATGAATTGTATTGATAAGAGTTCTTGAAACCATGGTGAGAAATTAAGTTTTAATAATGGAAAAGAATGGATGGGAAGAGGAAAGTGTTGATGGGTTTAAGGATATAGATGATAAACAGGAAAGATGCTTTGGTAACCGGGTATTTTTTTTAAGATTTTATTTATTTATTCATGAGACACAGAGAGGCAAAGACGTAGGCAGAGGGAGAAGCAGGCTCCATGCAGGGAGCCCGATGTGGGACTCAATCCCGGGACTGTGAGATCACACCCTGAGCCAAAGACAGAAGCTTAACCGCTGAGCCAACCAGGCATCCCAAATAACCAGGTATTGAAACATAAAAATAACGGTCACATTGGAAAGAAATTTCCAGATGAGGAATCAGGCTAAGTCTGGCATTACAAACAGCAAGTCTGGCTCTAGACAGCATAGATAGTGGATATTCTGAAGACTGCAGAGAGCCTCCCACCTTACAAATCTCTCTCTGACTGGGCTTTGCTAAAAAAAAAATAAGAAAGTCTTAAAACTCCTAGGATTTGGGCATAAAATAAAATGCCAACTTGTTTTTCTATATATATTTTTTACATAACCTTTTTAGCCATAATGAGGTATTTATTATATTTTAGCTCCAAGTAGATGACTGATGAGTCAATCACCTGGCCAGACAAGCTTTGAAGATGAGGTGTGGGTCCCATACTATTTAGAGAGAGCAAATTTCTGCAGTTAGGGAATAGCAGTGAGTTCTGAGAAGCTAAGGTGGTAAAAGGTCATAGAAGGAAGAATAACTGATGAAAAACATGATATATTATTAAACTATGTATACTTCATAATTTAGCTTGGAGCTTGATCTGCCTGAGTTCTTATAGAAACTTACCTGAACAACCAGGCAATTCTTATTCATATAAATTACATATAATCATATAAATTAGCATTTAAACACATGTGTTCATCTCCTTCAAACAAGGAAAGCTGCTATAGTCTTTAGCATTTTAAGAACATCCAACTTTGCTTGATACCCAATTCCTAGTTCTTTTAACCTTTAGAGCTAGTCATTCTTTATCCTACCTTCCCTGGTGTTTCACCAATTTTCACTGATACAGCCTAAGACTTGCCATTGACTCATCCTGTTCATGGGTTATCTTGACTGCCATCCCCCAAGAGGACATGTAGTTAAGTTCTTTGGTGGTTTAAGTTTTCTTTTCTTTTTTTTTTATATTTAAATATTTTATTTATTTATATTTATTTTATATTTAAATATTTTATTTATTTATTCATGAGAGACACAGAGAGAGAGGCAGAGACACAGGAAGAGGGAGAAGCAGGCTCCATGCAGAGAGCCCGATGTGGAACTCGATCCTGGGACTCCAGCATCAGACCCTGGGCCGAAGGCGGTGCTAAACTGCTGAGCCACCCAGGGATCCCCTGTTTAAGTTTTCATAGAAAACACAAACTCTGACAGATACTATACTGTTTCATAATAGACCTACATTTTGTCAGGGACATAGTGGTACTTACATACACAATAAAGTAAGTTCTTCTAGATACTTCCAGAATAGAGTAAATTCTAGATACATTACAAAATAAAGTAAGTCCCTCTTGATACTTCTAAAAGTATACTTCCAGACTATTTGTGGTTTGGGGGCAGAAAGATCAGAAGTGGTTTTCTTTTTTGTGCTTCCCTGCTCCCATCCCACTGGCTAAATATGTTTAGTTTATTCCTAATGATTACTAGTATAATATTGACGCAAGGACCAGTTGCGAATACAATCTTTTTGGGAATGACACATTTTTCAGGCAGTACCAAGGTTAAGGAAAGAAGGAAAAGTACACAGGTGGTGATATCCCTGAGAAAGGCATTTGAGGCCATCTTGGAGTCCAGAAAATCACTCTACCAAAATGTTTAAGAAATCAGTTTTTGGCATGAAAGAGGCCTGGGTTTGTGTTTTAGAGCTATCCCTGAATGCTCCTGTGAGAGACCGGACTTTATTTAACATTTCAAAGCCTTTTCTCATCTTTGAAATGGGAGTAATAAGTCTTTCCACTTTAAGTTTTTGTTGGGATTGTATTAGATAACTTACAGAGGATCTAAAATGACACTGGCGTATTAAAGCTCAGTAATGGTGGGATGCCT